CTTGTAATGTCTCATTGAATTTGACAATTGCCTTTTTTGATTCTTTCTTCGTCTTTTTACCAAGACAGAACTCCTCTGATGGGTTTTTGACTTGCTCCTTGTTATCTATCTGTAACTAAAGGCTCTTTTATTAGAGAAATGTTACAAAATTCACTGAGAGAAAAAAATCAAATAAGGAAAATAAAATTCATCTAAATGATACTAATGGGAAACAAACTTCAGAGAAAATTGTATGGGCCAGAGAAAATTACAGACAAGGAGTTAATTTTATGAGGCAGAGAAAATTATGAAACAAGCAACATAATTTAGATATCAGAGAAAATCAATCAAAGCATATAAGTTAATGTTTGATTATAATTGTGTTAGAGAAATTTGGATTCCAGAGAAAATTCATTAGAAGGGTAGAAATAAACAGTGTTTATCAAAGCTGTAAGGCACATAAGTTATGAGCAAGAGAAAATTACATATAAGGAGAAACAATTTTATGGGCCAGAGAAAATTATGAAACAGGTAACATAATTCAGATATTAGACAAAATCAATCAGGACATATAAGTTAATGTGTTACAATTGTGGTCAGAGAAATTTGGATTGCAGAGAAATTGATTACAATGGCAAAAATAAATTAGTGGTAACCAAAGAAGAAAACATAAATTGATAGTTCAGAGAAAATTGATCTTAATCTATCAATGCACAAGGAGGGAAACAAAGCAGTGGTTAGAGAAATTTTGGAATTTCACTAAGATTTCAATAGCGATAGAAATCTAACCTGTCGAGGTGCAAGAGAGTGGATTGGTGCCTTCTGCAGCTATTTCGTCAAGGTTTGCAAGTTCTACTTAGCACATCTTGGGAAGTCAGTTGTGTTACTGTCTTCCGAGTCAATGATATTTGCATGTTCACATAGCCAATGCTGTGATGAAAATTAAAGTAATTAAATTTTTTTAAACGCACAAATTTGTAAGTATGATAACTGCAAATTTGAATGGATATTATACTTACCAACAATGCAATGACACACCCCGTAACTTTTCTGGAGTTTTGTGCAATGCTATGATAGAATCAATCAATGTTGATGTGATTGCTTCTGGCCAATCATACTGTTTCATTGATTCAAGAGGTTCCACATACTTTATAAAAATCCACCCTATTGAATTCCCACTTGTTGCAAAAAATAGGGTGAAACACAAATACAATGTAACAATGATTACTACATCTTTGAAGTCAGTTGGTTGCTTGCCTTTCATTGCTTTGACCAAGGTATTTTTAAGAACAGGACCAGTGAGCCTTGTGTTCTTTTGAAATCTTGTCCTTAGGAATGCAGATTTTGGATTTTTAGAGTATCTTAATGACATGGCTCATTTACCTCATTGCAAACCAAAAATCAAGGTTATGTCATTTGTTGTAAAGGTCAAGTTTTTTTTACTAACTGTGAATGCTTTTGTTTTTTCATTGTAACATTGGATTATTGCAACTACATCATCATCAGATTTCCTAGATTTCCTTGGATCCATCCTTCCAGTTGTTAGAGCTTGGATCAAATACCAAAATGGGGTCTTTTGAAGCTCTACAAGTTGGTTTGAATTGAATTTAAGTGTTTGAAAAAAGGAGACAATAGATGAGAGGTTGGATTGGTATTGAATGCTGTAGTGAGCTCTCTTTCTTTGGAGTTTAACAGGTTTTTTCCCCTTGAGCTTAAGTTTTTTGAAGTTGGGGTACTCATCTGGATGCTAGTTGCATCATCACCTTAGACTTGTGTGTTTTGGCGAGGAGTTTATGGTGTTTTGCTGCTAGTTTTTTATCTTAGATCATAAGAAGACTGAGAGAGTTGTTCTTTCTTGCTTGGTGTTTCCAATGTTTTGTTGCTGATTTTTTATCTTAGCTCATAAGAACACTGAGAGAGTTTCTGTTTTTTGCTTGGTGTTTTCGGTGTTTTGCTGCTTTTACGTTTTGCCATTTCTAGACAATGATTAAAACATAAAGATGTCAACATTAAATCCCAGAGAAAATTGAGCATGCCAGAGAAAATTACAGATAAGAGAAAATTAGAGATGTCAGAGAAAATTACAGATAAGAAAAAATTACAGAAAATTGGACATGCTAGAGAAAATTGGACATTAAAAATTAAATGTCAGAGAAAATCAATAAAACATCATAAACATGGGAGAGAAATTTTCAATAATTGTTAAAATTACATATAGAAGTAAACATATCAGAGAAAATGAATGACAGAGAAAAGTAAACATGGCAAGCCAAAGAAAATTTCCATTCCACAATTAGTAAGATAAAATAAACAAAGTAATGTAAACATGCCACTGAAAATTATACCACATTGAAACCAAGAATTGAACAAAATAAACATACTAGAGAAAAATACACATTCCGGAGAAAATTACACATTCTTGAGGAAATTTCTATTCCAGAGAAAATTTCTATTCATAATATTAAAATGCCAGAGAAATTTACATATACAACAAAGAAAATTAACCATGATAGAGACACACAAGGGAGGAAAGTGATGTGATGTGGTCAGAGAAAATTATAAATACTAGAGAAACTTAGACAGAGGCAAGAGAGTAATAGACATTCCAGAGAAAAATACATATTCCAGAAAAATTTACAAAACAGAGAAATTCATAGACAAAATCACAGAAACATGTTCAAGAATAAGATCAAAACACAGAGAAATAACTTTTTTTTCAAAATACACATGTCAGAAAAAATTCAAACAAGAAACATTCATTCCGGTCCATAATATTAAAATGCCAGAGAAAATTAAACATGATAGAGACACATAAGAGAGGAAAGTGATATGATGTGGTCAGAGAAAATTATAAATACCAAAGAAACTTAGACAAAGACAAGAGAGTAATAGACATTCCAGAGAAAGATAGACATTCCAATTAAAAATACATATTATAGAGAAATTTACAGAGTAGGGAAATTTATAGACAAAATCACAGAAACATGTTTAAGAATAAGATGAAAACACATAAAATTACTTTTTTCAAAATAAACATTCCAGAGAAAATTGAAAGAAAAAACATACATCAAGCAAAAACCAGATAAATTCAAATGCCAGAGAAATTTACAGATAAAATCACACAAACATGTTCAAGAATAAGTTCAAAACATACAGAAATAACTTTTTTCAAATTCAGGTAACTTTTTATTACGAAATTGAAACCCTAATTTATGGAAGGTTAATATAAAATGCAATTAACTGTGTTTCCAGAGAAAATCTAGTTGTATTGTAGAAAAACTTACCAGAGTTAGGATGAAACTTGAATGACGAGCTGATATGGCCTGAGATGAAAATGCGACGTGACGAAGATGAACTGAGATGACGATGAACAGTGAAAACGGGGTCAGAGAAATTTGTGAGGAAGGAATGTGAATGATTTTTGCAGAAGATAACGAAGCTCTAATGTTGATGGTGAAGATGATATTGAAACCCTAATTCTGCTGTTCTCTTGTTCGTGAAGATGCTAGATGCTTGGAATGGAACTCAAACGTCGGAATGAGTTTCGTTTCTGTGTTGATTTTGGAAGGGGTATTTTGGTCCACAAAATAATTAAAAACGCGCGCCATGTTGTTCAGGGACCTGATGCATCACTATTTTTTTTGGTGTCATTTATCCTCTAAATTATTATTATTAGGGACCTTAAAAAAAATTCCCCTTGATTTTTTTAGGTTATATCACTTCTCTATTTTTTTACACGCTTTTAAAAATAAATAAATAAAATAAGTCAACTTTTAACTTATTTCCCAAATGAAAGTAGAATATCATTAATGATTCATCTCCTTAATTTTGTTCTCCTAATTCCACCCTTAATAATGTAAAGTTAGGGATGTTAAAGATGAGAGAGAAGAGCGTGGGAACTCTTCACATGAGTGTGGGTCATGTCATTGGGGGTGGAATTGGAAGGACAAAATTAAGAGATGTAATACCACTTAAATAAAAATTAGTTTGATAAAAATAAACAATAAAATGATATTTTAAATCTTTTAAAAATTATATTTACTCTCAAAAAATGTAAAATCATATGAAAATTATGAATGTTTTTTATTAAGAAAAATTATTCTATGTTTTCGGAGGAATATTTGATTTTCATTTCTCGTCAAATTTTATGTTGTCTCTTAGAACTCAAACAAAAAAAGTAACAAGTCTTACAATTTAAATTAATACTTATTAAATTGAAGCACTAAGTTAAACTTGCTCCCATAGCTTTCAATAATTTCTCGTTGATCAGACGGTCCAAAACACTGATCAATCTCAGATTAGTAAAATTTATGATATTATGGTGTGTTATGCCATTTTGTAATATAATTTACAAATAATAAATTTATGAGGTGTATTCTTAATTTATAAATGACAAAATTATGGGGGCTAAAATAGCCACAAAAAATAAAATAGGCTATTTTAGCCACAAAAAACAAAACATCAAATCCAACCCATAATCATTACAATCCTCTCTCACAAAAAAAGTCAAAAAAGTCAAAAAGCCAAAAAGCCCTTCCCAAACCAGGCTAAAATAGCCCAGGCTAAAATAGCCAAAAAGCCAAAAAGCCAAAAAGCCAACCCACTTCATAGACAAACTATTTTAGTCATAATGTGTCATAACTAAATAATACCTAAGGCATAACCAAATATTTCGTCAAATATAACTAAATTAATAATCACAATTAATCAAAACATCACAATGAGTGGTATTAACACAAAAGTGGGTCATAAAAATAAAAAATAAAAAGTCATAATAATATTATAACAATCACAATAATTAAATCATAACTGATATTACAATAGATCAGAGCTAACTATTACCAAAATCATTACTAATGGTTAGTTTGAAATGTAAGTTGACTTTTTTACTTTTTAACTTTTGTAAAAAATAAAATAAAATAATTATAATTTAAATGTGACATTTTATTTTATTAAATTAAAAATTTTGTTTTATTTTTTTGAGCTAAAATAACTCTAACCTCACACAAACCCGCCTGAAAAACGAGCACTAACTAAATGATTGCTTCACTTTTTTATAGTGTACCTTGTAAAATTTTCCATCAAACAGCCAAACCCGCCTGAAAAAGGAGCACTAACTAAATGATTGCTTCACTTTTTTATAGTGTACCACCTTGTAAAATTTTCCATCATATAGCCAAACGTACGAGAACAAACCTACCACTATCCACTAGTTTTAATGGCTGAAAAGGCAGATCGCCGATTGCCCCTTTTTTCTTCTTTCTTATTATGATTTGCATACTTAAAATATATATTTTAGCAACAGAAGCTCTCTCTCTAACCCTCATCACAGCATGCTTTCCATTGACCTGGTTTCTCTTCACTTCAGGTACTACTTTTCTTCCCATTTCTTCCTACTTTTATATGCTTCATGTACTTCTTTCTTTCCACTGTTTCTTCACTGTGACTACAAATTCAGGATTCTTCTGCTAATTTCTTAGTGGCTTGAATTTAAAATAAATTATTCTTATATATATATATATATATATACTTTGAGTGATGCATAATATTGTCAGAGTATAATCCAACTTTTCATCTAATTATTGCTTTTGAGTCACAAATTCTTTTTGATAATTTTCACTTTGGAATCCTTCATTTTTCTTTTTATTATTATTGTTATTTTTTTTGTAAGGTGGATTTCATCATTATTATAGTTTGGTGCATGGAATCATTTGGTTGCAAAGTATAGTTTTAGAATAAGCACGACTTCCAAGTAAAGAATAATTATGATGTTTTTTTAGTAATACTTTAACGCAAAAGAGAGAGAAAAAAAAAAATATTTGGATAATGTGTGATGGATGATGAGAAGTTAACGGATTGAGTGGTGTTGGTTACTCGAAAGTCCTATATATCCAAATTGGTGAACATTTGGTCTCAAAATTGTTAATGGTTTCCAAATACACAAATAGTATCCAATTAATCATGCAAGTTATGACTGGTTTGGTTCCAGTGAAAAATCTGGATTGGAGATTGTTATTTGGGTTTATGGGGTTGATCATGAATTTTATTATGAGCGTTCATATTGTTAATTTTTTTAGATTTTTTGTGTTTATCGATCATGAAAAAATTTGATGTTAATCTAATAATTAAATTTTTTATTTTTATTTTATCGCATTTATCTTTAAAATAATATATTTAAAAAAAAAATACAATTATCATATTTTTTTTAACACAAACAAAATATATACAAAAAATTATAATTATTGAATCTACTTACTTTTTGTTTCTATATACCATATATGAAGAATCCTAAAAAAAGAAAAGAAAAAAAAGGAAGAATATGATAGGTGTTTGGGAGCCGAACAACACCCTTCAGTTCCTTCAGTTCAAATAAAAACTGGAGTCAACCTCAACCCATTGGAAAATATTATTTGGTAATTTCAAAACAAATTCTACCATTAGGTAATTAATTTTTAAGTTTTCATTTATAATAACCAAAAGAGACAACTATATAAGAAAGAAAAATTCTAAATATTTCAAGAAGATTATCATATTTTTTTATCAAACATATGTTTGATAAAAAATTTGATAGCTTTACTGAAGTTCTTAGCACTGCTCGATTATTAGGCTATGTTTGGCATAAATTTTTTGGGCTAAAATAATTACAAAAAGACAAAATAAACTAAAAATTCAATAAGATAAAATATTACATCCAAATCAATGTTTTGAAAACTGGACCGGTGAGTGAACCGGAAAAGAGACCAGTTGGACGAGTCACCGGTTCAACGATGAATCGAAGCGGTTGAACCGTGACATCATAAATATATTTATATATATATATATATATATTAAAAATATAAGTATAAAAATGAAAAAAAATAAAATTCAACAAAATAAAATAATTTTCAAAACATTTGTAAGATGAGTATACATATATTTATTTTTGTAAGATGAGTGCCAGAATATATAATTAAAAAATTAGTTCACCAAACCATTAACTAATAGCTATGAAATCAGAAATTTATAATAAAAAATATTTATGAAATTTTAAAAATATTTAGTACTATAGTACTATTCCATCATTGACTTTTCTTTATCTCAATACTTTTTGTTTTGTTTGGACATAATAATGACTGTAAAAATAAGTATTAAGCAGCTTAAGAAGCATAGTAGCAAAAAAGGGAAGCAAAAGAGACAGAAATAGAGCAGCAGAGAAGGGAAAAGAAAGATAAAGAAAACTAGTCAGTTCTTAAAACCCAGTCTGGGTTGTCGGGTTTGATGGTTGAATCGGCCGTTCTTCCGGTTCTTTCATTTTACACTGGTTTTGAGCTATGTTCGGGTTTAGAGGGTTTTTTAAACTAGAACAAGGTTCGATCACCGGTCCAGCCGATCTGATAGGCCGGTCCTTTCTAGTTTTCTAAACATTGATCTAAATCATAATCATTTAATTTTTGTTTTCACAAAAGTTTAAAAAAATTAAAAATTTATCTCAAACAAGATTTTTTAATTCCATACTAAAATAGCTAAAAATTTAAAAAATTAACTCATATTTCAAACAAAGGCTTACTAACTTCCCCAATTCAAGAAATTTGGCTTAGTAAGTGAATAAAGTACTTAAAGGCCTTACCAAGTAAGAGGTGGCAAATTCGAAATCTATAAGTGTCAAACGTTCAAGCTCAAAAGCTATGTTTAGTTAGAGATTTATAAAGTGATTTGAAAAAAAAATAAAAATAAAATGTATTTATATTTTATTTAATTTTATATATTATTTATTTTTTTTCTTTTCCTTTTTAAATCCTCCTTAAATCTACACAAGGTTACATGTCCCAATTTAATTGAGATGCGCGTAATATCGGTTTTTTTTAAAAAAAAAAATAAAAAATAAAAAAATCCCAAGGTAATTCTCCCTATAAATATTGGTGATTTTGAACAGGGCGCCGAGATTGAATATTAGCGGTTGCGCCAGCAAGAGCAAGAACACATTCTTTTGTAAAAGCAGAGTCTCACTCCGAACCCATCAAACGCGCTTCCTCAGTTCCCATTCGTGCGTAACTCTCTCTCTCTCTCTCTGTCTCTGGTTAAACAGTGTGTGTGTGTGTGTGTTTGTTTGTTTGTTTGATTCTTTGGTGTGGAATTAGGTGGTGGTGCTCTGCGACTCTGTCAGTGATGGCGGAGGAGGAGGAGGAAGAGAAGGAGAGGTTTGAATTGGATGGAGAAAGAGCAGGTGCGATGGTGAAGGAGATGAGAGAGTGCTTCAACAGGGGAAACACGAAGAGCTACGAGTGGAGAGTCACACAGTTAAAGAGTATCTCCAAGATGATTGATGAGAAAGAGAATGACATCATTCAAGCTCTTCACAACGACCTCTCCAAACCCCAACAAGAAGCTTTCATCTCCGAGGTCTCTCAATTTCTCTCTCTCTCTCTCTACCCCCCCCCCCCCCCCCCCCCCTCTCTTCCTTCATACTTAATTTTTCGAAAATGTATGTTATGTTTCAGACCCTTCAAAAACAAAAAAGACTCTCACAATTAGACCCAGTGAATACAAAGAGCACACATAAACTTAAATATATGTTATTAGGCGAGCACATAACATGGAATAGCTACAAATATGTTTGAAAACATTTTCTAATGGAAAATATTTTTCTATTTTTGGTGGTGGTGATGGTGGTGGAACAAAGGCGGAGGTGGTGGCATGGTGGTGGAGGTGAGAGTGGTGGTGGTAGTGTGGTGACATTGGTAAAATTTTTGTTCAAAAAACGTTTTCTGTCTTTTTAAATTGGAAAACATTTTCTGTCCATATAGGCTTGTTTTTTTGTTGATCACATAAAATGTTTTCCGTTAGACCTTCGTTTTCCAAAAAATATTTTCCAAACAAACAAAAGGATTTTTTGTTTTTTTACCTGATCTCTCATCTCATCCATCAAATAGATTCTGGTCATGTGAATTGCTATGCAGATTTCTATGACTAAAAGCTCTTGTAAATTAGCGCTTAAAGAATTGAAACATTGGATGATGCCAGAAAAGGTAATTGCCTGAAGCCCATGCTCCTATTCAGAAAAGTAATTAGGAGTCTTGTTTTCAAAGGCCTTGTAGTTTGACAATTGAACATCATTAATGCATGTTTCTCTGTCTCGGCATTTCAGGTCAAAACTTCCATGGCAACTTATCCATCATCAGCAGAAATTGTATCAGAACCTCTTGGAGTTGTGTTGGTCATTTCAACATGGAACTACCCTTTCTGTACGTAACAAAAAAATCTAGTTTCGGTTTCCTTTAATAAATTAAGAGAATTAAAAAAAGAAGAAGAATAGAATCAAGGAATCAAATAAAAAAATAGTGTTAGATGTGATTCTATTATATTGTTTCTCGTCTTGTTGTATTGTTCTTGCCTATCCACTTCGAGTTGTCTACATCATATTGATAATCACCTCATGCTTGTTGCCATTTTGTTGGGTTTTAAACCATTTCAAGGGCAATGTTATGAGGATAATTGAAAATGTGTGAACTATGTGAAGTAACTCTGTGGGACATCAGGTGGCACAAGTAATTGTATAATATATGTGTCTTACATGTTTGATATTGGATGGATTGATATCTGACACATACATACGAACACATTCTCGTTCGGTCAGAGTTTCCTGAAATAAGATTGAAAATTCATTAATATATTTCTTTGTTAGATGTAACTTTATAAATTTGAAAATTTTCATGCTGGAAACAAGGTATCATTTGTATGCATGCATCATTTTACAACTCTTCATTACCTTCTACATCTGTTCCAGGGCAGGTTTGTTGAATGCAAAAATAAGTTTACATTGGATTAGAAACCATTATTAATCTCAAACATATATTCATTCTCGACTTTGGAAAATTTTGGAGGGATTCCCATTGAGCAACTTTTTTTAGTAAATTTGAAGGATAATATAGCAGAAGCAGAGTAGGTTTCATGTTGCTGAATCATGTTGATTGTCACCTTTCATGCTACATTAATGCTATATAAAAGAAAATGTGATGCTTATAGATTTTTCCTTCAGGAATTTCAAACTTTCCCGAAGGTAGTTTGCACAACCATAGAAAAAAATATTTCCTTCTTATTTTCTCTCGTACTTAAAAACATTTAATATGCAAAAAAATTCTAAACAAGTGGTCCAAATCAAGTACAAGAGTTAGAAAAGTGATACGTAAATGTAAGGATTTCTTCCACTTCTTCATCTTGTCTTATTTTCCTCCCTATTCGCCAAGGTGTCCAAACCAAAAAAATAATATAATTTTTTTCTAGGTATTCTTTTACTTTCCCTCCCTAAATCCATAAACCAAATACACTCTTAAGCGTATTGATGTTTCACTTCGTCTCATGTTGTCTTAATGCACATCAAATCTAGTTAACTATTCATAATCTGTTGATTGTGCTTTTGCATATTAGCATTTGTCACGTTAACTGTTGAGTTTGAATTTCATCGTCAAGTTTTAAGGTTTGACCAGAGGCAGAGTGCAATGTTTCAGACAATGTACCAAAAACATTGTGCCCCAACTATACTCCAGTCTCCCCTCCACTTTACTCAGAACCACGAAACTAATGCTGAGTGTTAATTTGATAAGGGAACCACGAATGTAGAGTATGAAAACAGGCTAACTGAATTTGAAGTAATCAACTATGAACAAAAGACATTACCCACCTTTTGGTCTCCGTTAATCATGCCTAACCAAAATTTGAACAATCAACTAAGCTACTTGTTAATTGTGTAATGATTAGTTATTAAACCTTATTTTTTGTACCACGACATAGTCCATGAGAAAATTCCAAATGTAATTTGTTGGTTTCTTTTGTTCAATTTTGGGTTCTAGATGTTGATTTGAATTCTCTCATAATGAACTCTTGTTCTTTTCAAATCAATGCCTGCTCAAGTGAATTTGGTTCCTTTTTGACAAGATTTTCTCCCTCTTTTCAGTGTTATCTCTTGATCCGGTCATTGGAGCCATTGCAGCAGGTAATGCAGTTGTTCTCAAACCATCAGAAATTGCTCCAGCCACATCATCAGTGCTTGCAAAATTATTAGAGGAGTATGTGGACAATACAGCCATAAGAGTTGTTGAAGGGGCTGTTGCTGAAACATCTGCTTTACTGGAGCAGAAGTGGGATAAAATATTCTATACAGGTTGTTAACCTTCAATTATTGTTTGTAATTTCTCTGTAAGATAATGCTAAGACATTGGAATTTTTTCCATTCTTTACAAAATACCTTCAGTTTTGAGGTGTTTGTATTTACGTATGTGCATTTGTTGTGGCTTAGTGGTTATTGTGTCACGTGTGTATGTGCTTTGGAATTTGTTAGTCTATCTGTGGTTGTATAGGAGACTAATCTATTGAAAAAAACTTTGAAGCTGAGTCTTTTTTGTTCCAAGTATGCAGTAGTTCCTTTAGTTAATAGTTAAATCTGTTTCTTGAATTCCCTGCAAGGTAGTCCTAGGCTGACAATGTTGATGTTGATGTTGTGTTTCTCATTAATTTCAGCTGTTGTAGCATGTTTAGGTTCCATATTTTTCAGATCCCCCACAATTTTTCATTCACATTCGGTGAGACATGTGTGTACCAATACCTATTTCTTTGTGAGATATATGCGGGGAGAATGCAGCTAAGTTGATGAAGAACTAGACTTTCCCTTATAGGTGTTTCCAATAGTTCCTTTCCTTCTGAAAGCAACTTCCAATAAAAGTTATAAAAAAAAATTCACACTTTTGGTTTTTGCATTCTTTTCACCACTTTTTTTTGTAAAAAATTTAGATTTTTCTAACGTGGATCTTCAATAACATTGCTTCTTAATTCTATTTCTTACAATAAATTATAGTCTATGTAGTAATCCTCAAGTTATGCATGCAGGTAGTGGAAGAGTTGGAAGGATTGTGATGTCTGCTGCTGCAAAACACCTTACTCCAGTAAGTTTGGAACTTGGAGGGAAGTGTCCTGCTGTTGTAGATTCAGATGTTAACATAGAAGTAAGAAACTCAATTTATCATACTGCTTGCTTGGGCTATGGTACCTTAAAAAAATTTATTTGGGCAATTAATTTTTCTGCCTTTTCTCCCAATACACTAACATGAATTTTATTGTCATCATTTTAAGGTAGCCGTGAGGAGGATAATAGCAGGTAAGTGGGCATGCAATTGCGGACAGGCTTGCATTGCTCCTGACTACTTAATAACCACGAAAGGTTTTGCTCCAAAGTTGGTAAGAGGCCTCACTCATCACAAATCAAAGTGTTTATCTCTGTAGCCTAGTCTACATCTCTTGATAAGTGTTTGTCTGTCTGATAACAGATAGAGTCTCTAAGATCAGAACTGAAGGTCTTCTTTGGAGAGGATACGATGGAATCAAAAGACTTATCTCGTATTGTGAACTTACACCACTTCAAACGCTTATCAAGGCTTATGGATGAGGATAAAGTATCTGATAAGATAGTACTTGGAGGGCACAGAATTGAAAACCAATTGTGAGTTCTGCAATCTATTTCCAATTTGCCTACTTTGACTTCTTGTTGAGTCTAAGATAATTGTTGGATGTATCATATTCTATGGTCGCTGTTTTATTCATTGCAGAAAGATAGCTCCAACCATCTTTTTGGATGTTCCAGAAGACTCTCTGATAATGGAGGAGGAGATATTTGGGCCGTTACTACCCATTGTCACGGTAATGACTGTATTTTTTACTGTTCATTTTGCAAACTTTGAGCAGAGTATCTTTTGTTCATAGCTACTCCAAGGCATTGTTTTCATCTTGAGTTCAAATCATATAAAGTAAAATTTTGAAGTCAATTGTAAAGTAAAATTTTGATTGGTCTGCATCTGGTGATTGCATTGCAACTTGTACAAACAAGAGCAAAGTAAAGAAGTCTCTTTCCTTGTCCATCTTTCAATGTGCTAAGAAACATAGACATTTCTAAGAAGGTGTCATGTTCATGCCGGTCACTTGTCAAATATAGATACTAATCGGATACTTCCAACGCATGTCGAACATGTTAGGATTAGTCTATCCATGTGATAAAGGTGGGTCCTGTATAGTTAGTAGGTTGGTTTATATACACATATTTGGGTTAGGATAGTGGAGTCCGGAATCTACTAGGAAACCTAATATGTGTAGGATTTGGTTACCTAATTGTATGGAATTAGGATTCTCATGGGTAGACTATTATAAATAGTCATGTGGACTACACGGTTTTCTTGTGAGACAGATTGATTGAGTGGTGAGCGAAAAAATAGAGTTGTATGGGTTGAGATGTTGGGGGGAAGGGAAGGACTCTTTGGTGTGGGATGGGCAAAAGTCTAAAGGGATCTTCTTGGTGTCTTTGTTTTATTCTAGCCTTACATATGATGCTGCTGTTATGTTTCCTTGGAAGTGTGTTTGAGTGGCGGGTATGCCATCTAAGGAAGCTTTCTTTGTTTGGACTGCGACGTTAGGGTGGCTTCTTATGATGTTGTATAGTTGGGTTATGGGTTCAGTTGATTCGGATGTCTTCGCTTTTGTAGATTTTGTGGAGGATTTAATTTCTTAGTTTCGTTGTCCCTTTGTGGGATGCTTCTTTTTTGTATTCTTTGTATCATTTTGATGCTTTTCTAATAAAGTTTGGTTATTTATAAAAAAAAAATGGGTGAGAGAAAAAATACCATGGGCACCGGGGTGAGCAAGGGTTCAACTATCCTTGAGCATGGGGTTTGGGTAGTGGTGTAAGTTTTGAGTGTTTTGACCATCTCACATGTATTCTCTGTTTTATTCATAGTGGAAGTTCTCTCTCCGTGGATGTAGGCAATTTGGGCCGAATCACGTAAATTTGTATGTGATTATTTTTCTGGTGTGTGCGTGAGTGTGCTTCCATTTGCATTGGTGGGATGTGGAATAAATCCCAACAAAACACACATTCAAGCATATCTTTTTTTGTTTTTTTTATAGATCTGAACACTTAGGAGATCTACATGTACATTGTTCAAACATACATAAAATGCATTGCAAGTTTTAAGAAAATAACTTGGGATCCAATGAAAAGAAAAACAACGTAGATTCATACCAATTAAACCTTCCTACTTTATTAGGATTTAGGAATTAGTGTTATGTTGCATTGTTTTTGTTATCTATAAATGACATATATGTATATATGATATATAATAAATATAAAATACTCTATATTTTGTGTGTGTCCTTCACGTGCGGTGTTTGCATTTTTTAAAAATTGTTGGTCACAATGTCCATGTCTTGCCACGTGTCTGTGTCCTTGCTTCTTAGTCAATGAATATAATATATGGGTCTTGCTCATTCTCTCTCTCTCTCGCACACACACACACACACACACAATCATTTCAGAACATGACCTTATTACCAAACTCGTACTGATTCATGTAGTTTTATTTTATTTTACTTAATGCCAATTCTTGCTGTGGTTATGACTTGAAGTGGTGTTGGTTATATTTACGACTGGTTTGAGGTGTTTACATCCAAATTAGACTTAAACATCACATCTTCACTTCCCTCAGCATCTTCAATGGTATATATATTTTTATTATGATTCTCTAAGTTAATGTATATTTACTTGATACGATGCAATTACCATTATGATTACAATTACAATATGATATGATTTGATTGTAATGTCCAGATGCAGCTTCTCATCCCTCACTATATAAAGGGATCCTTGTATTGTTCATAATTCAACTCAACATACAGTTCTTCTCTTCTTTCTTTTCTGTCATTCTACATAACAAATTAAAAGCTTTTGAACAGATCAGTGGTAGAGGCCTATACCTCCATATTTTATGTTCTCTTTTCTATACGTATAAATCAAATCCTAATTCATTGATCTCTTTTTCCTTTTATTCTCTAGGTCAGAATGATTTTAGTCTTTGACAAAACCTAGTGGTGCAATTCAAATAAAAAAGAAGTAGAAAAAAGAATATGAAATCTGTTACCATAAGTTCGTTATGCTCTTTTTCATTGATAACAGAAGAGAAAGAATAATGGGAGAGATAAGAGAGAAAGCATTTTATTTTTCCTTTTTTTACTAACTTCACTTTTTTTGTTGGATGTTAAATACTTTTTGGCTTTCATGTTCCTTTTCAATCTTGGGTGCTAGAAGTTACACATGGTCAATAATAAGTTTACTTTACAATTAACTAAATAATTTTCTTTAGAGGAACCGGACTCTCATTTATTTCATTTAGTTTGCCCAGTTTTGCATTGTTTCCTGCAGTCACTTTCACTCTAAATGAAGATTGTATATTTCTAGAAACCGAATCGTGAATATTGAATATTTTATTATGCTTCATTTTGTTTGGTGTAGGTTGAAAATTTGGAAGATAGCTTTGCTGTAATAAACTCAAGACCAAAGCCTCTTGCCGCATATCTTTTTACGAATAATGAGGGGCTGAAGAAGGACTTCGTGAAGAACATTTCTTCTGGAGGAATGGTTGTCAATGACACTATCCTACAAGTAATTATGCCCTCCCTAGAACTTGATATTGGATTTTCTGTCCCATTCCATGTGAACGATTCCTTGTTCTAGATCACCTAAGTTAAACTATACGTATTTTAAATTATGAACTCACTGGAAATGACATGATAAGTGATTTGGATTTGAGCTGCTGTCTGCCAACGTAAGAAAGGAGCTGTTAGGTGTTGAACACGCTCCTTGCAAATGAACTGTAAAACCTCTGTATTGATTGGGAAGTAGTTCCAAGCTTCTAAATTTGATTTCAAAAGGTAGATTAATGATTTAGTTTGAAGGAGCATTTATTAAAGGACAAATTTTACTTTACCTCCATATGGTTTACTTCATGTGAGGTTTACCACTTTGACATTTAGAAATAAGCACACAACTCCCCTTGGTTTGTTGACTAAAGTGCACCGTCGCTTAAACGAGAAGACTAAAATACCCTTTTTATATATGAATAACGGTAATTTTATTAACTAAAGAGCATAAGCTGATCCTAATGAATCCATTTGAGCCTCTCAACAAACCATGGGCATTTTTGTCATTTTCTTGGGAGCCAAAATGCATTTTACCCCATCGTGCTTTACTCCACGTGCAGTTTACCCGCTTTGACATTTGGATATGAACACATAACCTCCTTATGTCCAAGCTCATATTTCATACTTGCTGTGCACTTTAGTCCATAAACTATAGGGGGGTTGTGTGCTTATTTCCAAATGACAGAGGGGCAAACTGCACATAGACTAAAACATAGGGGGTAAAATGAAGTTTTGCCTTTATTTAATTTATAAGATTCTACACGTGGTACTAAATTTGCCAAGTTTTTGACTATTTGCGTGCATCCATTATACACATCTACTGGCACACATTCATACATAAATGAATTTGCCAAATTTCTTTTCACATTACAGGAATAGTGTACTTTCATAGCAAGACACATAAATGCATCCTGTATTATCCTCAACATTTTTTCTTATTATTAAGGGTAACCATTGGTTCAATGTTAAGACTTGGCCTGATAACATTGAGGTTATGGGTTCAAGTCTTGGGGCCATTACTTTGTGCATTATGCTAAAGGTTAAGTGTGTACTTCATCTTTCCCCTCCCAAACACACATTAATGTGTACTAATTGGGCATTGTTTTATTTTTTTCTTATTAGTAAGCTTTAATTTTCTATGAAAATGATGCATAATCTACAAAATGCAGGTCACAGTCTCCACCTTACCTTTTGGAGGAGTTGGGGAGAGTGGGATGGGTTCATACCATGGTAAATTCTCTTTTGATGCTTTTAGCCACAAAAAAGCAGTGCTTTACAGAAGTTTTGAAGGAGATTCATCGACAAGGTACCCACCTTACACACCCCAAAAGCTAAGATTATTGAAGGCATTAATCGGTGGTGACATAGTCGGCATCATACTTGCTCTGATAGGAAGATCTAAGGACTGAAATGTGATATAAGATTTTTTGTCTTCATTATTTTGTTTCTACAGTAACAAGATTGGACTCAGAAATACAGTGCATGTTCTATGTATATTTGGTGTTGGCAGGTTTTGAAATAGGAAATGCTAATGCTTGCCCAGCTGGTGGTCAGTCATTAGTCTTGATGGACTTGTAAATTGTACAAAATGTGTGAAAAGGGTATAAAAATATGTAAAAATGTTGATGTGTAAAAAAATGTGTTAACATACTAAAACCTTTGGCCGTTGTTTACTTTAATGACAGCCCAATAGTTGGCACATAACACTTTGAAATATTCTAAAGACTACTTTTTCATTCAAGCGAAAAAAGAAAAGCTGATGCAGAACCTACTTGCTTTTTTCTTTCTTTCTTTCTCTTACACTACAGAAGACATTGACATGTTTCTGTTTGGTATCTAACTTTTATTGTTTTGCAAGAAGCTCATGTTAAGTCATAGAGATGGTTATGTTGTCACAATAACCAGATGATATTTGACAAATTTATTTATAGAACTCCAAATTCTTTTTTAATTAAGGAGACATCACAATAACCAAAGGGGTGACTTTAAACATCAAAGTCAATCAGATGTTAGTATGACTTATAAGATTGAGAAACCAAACAACCCTGCCTTGTGACAAATTGGAACAAAAGAGTAGGACAGTATATTAAGCAGTAGTAGTAGTTCAGAAAATGAAAGTCAGAAAATTAAACAAGTGCTACCAGGCACAAACCACCAAACTAATTTGGGAAAAAAAGAAAGAAAAGAGAAGGGTAGGTGATGTGGTATAGGAGACTTTAGTAACTGTTTGCTCAATTCAATAAAGGAAAATGCCATTTTACCATTTTTTTTTTGTTTACAAATATAATTTCCATTTCATGTAGACTGATTGTGAGATTCCAATAACTTGTTTTTTTTTTTCAACTTAATTATTGCCAATGTTGCGTGATAGATTGAGATTGTTGGGCCACTTAAATGTATAAACTAGCCCCAGATAATTTGCTGCAATACAATCTCAAATGTTATTAACATTTGAGGGAAAAGAATCGGGAGTTCCTCGTCCACGCCAAAACAATCAACTTTTTTAACATGCTACAGAAAGCAAACTAAGCACCATGATTGCAATCAGTGTGAGACCAAAATTAGCAACATTTGCTGTCTGGCTGCTTTTGGCTTCTGGGGGTGGAGCAGCTGCAGCATTAGGTGGTGCTGCTGCTGCAGTGACATTGGCTGCAGAGACATTGGAGACCGGAGGTAGAGGTGGGTCCACAACATCCTTAACATCGAGAGCTGGCGCTGGGGCTCCTACAGGTGGCAGTTCTACTCCGTCTGGAACCATCTGAAATATCGCACCAGGTACAACAGGTAAGATGCTGTATTCGAGATCTTCATCGCTGTAGAAACATGGACTTTCTGCGTAACAAACAACAATAATGTAAATCCGTTAAATACGCACAAAGATCTTGCTAAATGAACTTGTTGAGAATGACTTCAAATTCTTCTTGTTTGACCATTACTTTGATTTATGATCTTACGTTATTGTGTTTCATTGTATTTTTCTCATTTCAGAATTTTTATCTGCCCTTTATTTCATTCTTGAACTTGTAATTAAGTCATGAAGGGATTTTGAGGTTCATGAATTCCATATCTCAATGGCTAGTTTTTTATTTTTTTATTTTTATATGCCATCAATTGGGCAGTGAGTGAGAGACTGCTTGGTAGTCCTGCGTTGTGCATTACAACTTTGCCTTTTTATAAATGAAATAGTGCAATATGGCTTGATAAACATGAAAATCAAAACAGCATTGATGATCCAACAAGAATGTGTGTATGTAGTTCTTACTTAGATAAGTGATTGCTGTTGCAGGGTAGTCTGTTACGATCCCATCAAGGCTGAAAGGTGGCGCAATGAATGTTGCCAGCTCTACGATTGGATCTGAGAAAAGATCCATTGCAATCCCTGTAAATTCATTTCTGAAAACTGAGGAATACACTGTTAAGTTGGCCTTCCTCATCTCCTGAACAACGTTAGTAGGAGTGATGGTGAAATCATTGGAAATTTTAATGATGGAGCCTTTGCGGATGTTAACTGCATTGGCAAACTTCTTGATTTCATCCACTGTCGGCTTTGGTGCATCACCTACTGTTTCTTCGATGAGGAATACTCGTTTGTAAGTTGGGACATTGCTGAACTTCGATAGGACTCCACCATCGTCTGATTGGATCAACACTTGTTGGGTGGTTTCCTTGTCAAAAGTAGCATTGCTCAAAGCAGTGGAAACAGTGTCAATTAAGTCAATACCCTTCTTTGATGCCAAGTAGGCAGCATTCTGAGAGGGAAATTAAACAATACAAGGTAAGACTTCCATACAGAAAATTTACACATGAAACCAAAACATTAGGCAAAGCTTTAATGATAATGCCTTTGATAAAGGTATATACAGTTAAAAGTTGTGGGGTTGTATGGTGCTTATAGTTGTCTTCTTTTTTCTTTTTTTTTTTAAAATGCTAGGAGCTTGTGCTAGACTATTTGGTACAACTTCTATTTACAACTTTAGGCAAAAATAGCTTAAATAAGCTGGAAATAATTGATTATTTGAAAACTGAGGGAGGGGTGCTTTTGACTTTTGCTTTTTGATTACCATTTTTTAGCTGACAATAAGCTGCACTAACGTGGGCACGTTACTTTTTTAGAAGTGTTTGTGCTTCTTAGATTACATCAAACAAAGAACTTACCTTTATTTCGATCAAAATTCCAAAAACTTTCTTCTCCTTGGAAAGTTCCAAAAATTCAGCAAGAGTAATGAATTTACCCTTGCTCTTGTATGCTGGGTTTCTGTTCATGCCCTCATTCGTAGCAAATGGGCTTGCTATTAGAGCTGAAATGAGAAAGTCACTTGGTAAAAATCTTCATCACAAAATTAACAGGCATATATATATACTAGTGTATGCTCGTACCTGAAGGCACGGTGTAAATAATGTTAGGATTAGAATATACTTGTAATTTCAATACTATTTAAATTTATTTTTTAATTTGATAAAATCACAAATTTCTTATCAAATTTTTGAATTCTCACAAAACTCCTCATGAAAACTCGTTTTTGCTTATAGCTAGACAGATAGATGTGCCTGGCATACATATAATTTTCACGGACATACATACAATATTGCTTTTGCTTATATAATTATATGGAAATTGTGTGTATGCTCGTAATGTCCTAGTGTATTACGGGGCATACATACATTGTATGGAAATATGTGTAGAATATATTGAACAAAAAGGAGAAAATAAAAAAAATAAACAAATAGAGAGAAAAATAAAAATGGAAGAAAATTAAAAAAAATAAAAATAAAAGAGGGAGGAAGGTGGGATCATGGAACCATGGAAAGATAGGTGAGAAAAAAAAAAAGTAAGAGAGAGAAGCGGGAAAGTAGAAAATGTACATATAAGATATTTTTTAAAAAATATATCTCAGCCATTGTTTTACAATTTGAACAGATTTGAGCCTTCCAGGTGTCCTAGTAGGACAAAAATATATTGAAGATTCAAAACCGTCTTACTTTATTATATATTATATAGATATACACACATCTTGCAGACTTTTTTTTGGGTGGTTAACTTCTTGCAGACTGATATGGGAGTCAATCATTTTCAAAATCATGTATGTATATGCAGAAACAAGTTGGATGTGGTATTAAGAAGTTTACGCTGCAAGGTTTGAATCTCGCTCCATGTGAGATCAAATGAGAAAATTCCACTGTTACTTTGAATTTCAGGGATTGTAGAAGATTTAGCAATGAAAGTTGCCTTTGCAGTCGTAGCTGATGCAAGGTCAGCTGAGCTCGAGCAGAATGCAACTCCATCCTTCGACATCTGTACTGAGCAGTCAATAATGTCAGCTCCATCATCTACTGCTTTCTGGTAAGCAAGATCAGTGCTGCCCGGGTAAAATCCACTTGCTCCATGGTGACTTATCACCAAAGGTTTTCGTTTTCCTGCACAAACTCATAACTATTAATTATGGTATATAGTGATATCATATCCAATAATTTCTCATAATTAAATTTCTCTAATTTTTAATTTTTAAATTTCTTTTGTGCACATAGTATTACTGTATATTCCAATTATTTTATGATGAGAAACATCTTCCTGTGAAAAAGTTGATGAATTTGTATCTTACCTTTGACAGGCCTGGTTGCATTCTTGTTATGTGCCAAACATGCTGAATGAGAAAGAAAGTTAGAACGCTTTAGTCAGACACAAACTTAAGATATATATATACATATATATATTGAGAAAGAATAGTCCAGTTGAGATTATCTCACCAATTGCTTCTGATGCAGTGGAAGGGTAATCTGTAAGGAACCCATCAACAGAGAATTGGGAATTATCAATATACTGCAAGTACTCAGCTGTTGGTTCATAGCTGTAGTTATAACTCGCCATTTGGTCATTTGCGAAATTATAAGCATAGACTTCTAGCCCTGCCTTGTGAGCATCAGCTACAACAGTAGTGGGTGCCTCTAAGTACATTTGAGCATTGACAGGCCATATGTACCCTTTCGGGACAAGAATCCCGGACGCGAATAACTTGATTGCGGAGAGATCCTTGAGTAGTGAACCGTATGTTTGGTTTGTTGTTGGTTCAACTGCATTTTCTTCTAAGAACACAAAAATAAACTGTGCCTTGCTTTTGCCTACTTTCCCTTTCATGCTCTTCAAGAAACCAATCTCAGGAGATGAGACAAACTCTACGAGAGTGGTTTTCAAAAGGTTCTGAACATACAATGCTGGATCGAGTTTGTGCAGGGCGTAGAAGCTGCTGTACTGAAAGACAGACAAAGAAACACGCAGAGAATCCCAAATAATTTTTATTTTTATTTTTTAAATATCAATAAATCAGAACACAGCAAATTATTGTCCAAATGCTGCCAAAAACATGAGAGAGAGAGACCTGAACATTTAACCAAAACCTAGCGGGTGGCGGCACATATTCCATTATTTTTTGAATGGTAAATATGGGCATCCTTATCCCATCAAAAATATTTGCTCTAGTGTATATACCTTGAATCACTGTGGAAGAACACAACAAATCAAAGGTAAAAGCAATCATTAGTAATCATATGAGGAGTGTTTGTTGTAAAGTTCTTTGATCATCATGGAGAATTTTTTGTTGTCTCAACACTGTTACTGTTTAAAATTCCTGTAACTGTATACTTGCATATGGAAACAACAACAATGAATGAACGAAGACACCATGGAATCTAAATGGGCATTCCAAGTAAGGGCAGCCTAGTACACAAGGCTCTCTAGCAAGGGTCAAATCTATCTCGTTTGACCCCTGCATGCTGGAGAGACTATTACAGTGCCATGGTATGATAAGTACTTGAAAAAAAAAATCACTTCGTTAATGGTTTTCTTGTTAGATGGTCTTGGATAAAATTCAACCCCAAAGTTAGCTATTAAAGTGAGGCCACCCTCACGTTTATATAACGCACATTAATTTTATACTAGAGTGATGTGGGGGATCACACTTCAACCCCCCCCTCTCTCACGTGCAGTGTGCTCACTTGGTAGCACTTGCTGCCGATAGGCCGGGGACACACATCATACCCATCCCTAAGTAATCTGATGCCACGTGACAAAACCAAACGGATTGAGAGGAAGAAGAAACCATCGTATTTTGATAACCCATCCTTCGTACTTACATGATGTGGGATTTCTCTTCACACTTCAATATAACCAATCTATTAGAATTAGAAGAATAAGGAGAGAGAATATACTTTCAAGACTTACATGATACAGTGAGAAGCTGGTCAGAAGTAAAATCCAAAGCAAAATACCCTTGCACTGAATTTCCATTTACGTTGTAAGTTTTTTGTCCTTTGGGGAAGAAATCTTGTATGTTTGTTGCATTATCAAGATTTAAAGTTGAGAGGCAGTAACCCTGGTTATCTTTTGATAGTTGCAGACTGCAAAATATAGCAACATCAGGCAAGCTTGTTTGCACTGCCAATTGGGTTGCTATGTCCGATGATTCAGGAAATAGCCCTGAGTATCCACCACGTGCTATCACAGCAGGCCTCTTACCTGAAAAACAAGAGGCATTCAAAATTTATCAAAGCAGGCCTCTTAGTCACCCCCCCCTTTTTTTTAATGAATTTATATGAGGTGTAAATAATCTTATGCAACAAAATAATCTGTGTTTAATGACATTGGACGTGCTTAATTTCTCTATTCTGAATCAATATGGAGATTGACAAACCACCATGCTTGGATTTTCTGTCATGACTTGTATGATTGTATTTTGTTTGTTGGTTTGATTTAACATTTAACTTAATATGGTTCTTTTTATGATTGTCTTAACAAAAAATTGCATAACTCCTGATGATTTCATTTTCTTCACAATATTTCATCTGTAATTCTTCTTTTATATATTGATCATTGTGTTTATACTTCATACTCTGTGGCATTGATTTATTCAGCATTGTTTTACATGTATACAATTAACTCTAATTTTCTTTTCATTATATCAAGCTATAAAGTAACTTTTTGTGCTTAATTAAATTAGGGATGTGGTGAAAATTTTGTTTAGAACAGTCATTAGCATGTGATCTTGGGCCTCCAATTGGATCATGAAAACATAAAAAAAACAAGAAAATACAGACAAATAACCTGTCAAGAAAAGAAAAACGTTTTGGGGTAATATTTTAGCCTTATTTTTATTCATTTCCTCACTAGCCTTTGTAATTTGATGGAAGTATGTTAATATCATTGGTAATTACAAGAGGTTGGAAATCATCCCCGTCGCGGTCAATAATTCTGAACATAAATAAGCCAACGTGCATTAATTTTAAAGAGGTCTTTTTTATACACATTAAAAACAAAAAACAAAATCAAAAACTAAAAACATAATTAAACAATCTATGTACCTTTGGAAATCGATAGTAATCATTGGAAGTAGCAAGAAAATAAGAAAGGCTATATATGCCAGGAAATGTAAGTTACCACTGAGGGTCAGCCATGGCTGTGAAGCCGGCTTGTGATGATGTTTCTGACCAAAAGTTGAATGGATCAACAAGAAAACCAAAAACAACCGTCCGATCATTTTATGGAAATCCTGCAAAAATTATAAACAAAACAATAGATCAAAAGAGCTGCCAACCAAAAATTCAAAACAATAAGGAAAAAAAAAATGACTTGTATTTTGGTATGAATGTGTTTATGTTATTAAAAATTGCATCATTTTCCAGATTGCTCCACTTGTATTTTCTGCGATTGGTTCTATGTCTTTAAACTTATTGTCAATAGTATGTGGTTTTTGAATTGTTTCTCCAAGCTGTGATTAGAAATTATTTGTGTATTGTTGTATCAATTTATTCTTGATCTTGAATAAGCTAGATTGGATTGATGACAGCCTCAAAAATGGACATTTTACTTGACAACAATGATACAACCTTCTAAAACTAGAACTTTAATTGAGCTCTAGTGAGGTGGAAAGTCCCCTCCCCCCAAAAAAAAAGCAGCAAGGCCAAAACATTACATTAGATGGGCTCCACATAGACATTAAAGTTATTACAGCTCACAAATTAGAGCTCCAAAATATTTTTGTTTACTTAATGCAACAACAAAAATACAAAATACATAAACAACACAAAATTTGAAATTTGAAATTAGATCAACAAAATCAACAAAAACCCAGAAGCTATACAATATCAAATTACATGTATTAACTTTTGTTTTAGTTTTTATTGTTAATATTAACATGAAAGACAAAAGAGAGTAAATGAACACACTTGGATATTGATGGCCTGGCCAAGGAACATAGACATTCCCCAGGAAAAAAAACCTTGAGAAACTTTGGAGGGGAATGTAAAGAAATGTAAATAGTAATTGGTGGACAAAAGGGTGGTGGAAAATAGGAGAGGTTTTAACCTTCATTCATTGCTTATTTTTGGGGATTTAAAGGCTGACTTTGGTTTGAACTTTTCTACAGCTTTTTTTCTTGGTTGGTTGGTTGGTTGGCTTTTTATGGATCTTCTCCTCCTTTTTTAATTTAACAGTTTTTTTTTGCCGGGGTATGTGGGTGGTGACTGATCCTACATGTTAGGGCTACAAATATCATGTAACACAAAAACTTCTAAATATGGGGTAGATCTTGTATTCTCGTAATATCATGTTAATTGTGTGTTTGTCATCCAATAATAAAACGTTACATATTTATATAATTTGAAAAATTGTTTTAAAATGTACAAATCAAGAGATATATGAATTATGACTAATTATTCAGTAGTTCCAGATTGCTATGTGGCAATCACATAGTGAAATTTTTTATAGGTAAGATATATTGACTCACATTTGTTAGGTAGTTAGAGACAAATGATAATCTAGTAAGTACTCGTTGCAGTTGCGTATAGACAATACAATATCACATGATATTTTAAATTTTTTAAGTAATTTTCTATAAATCAGACACATTAATAACAATTTTTGCTAAGTATAACTAATTCCATTGTTGCAGTAATAGTACTCTGTCTTATCAAAACAATCATAAATTTTAAGTAGTTGTCAATTGGCCAACATACAAAGTCATCTTGTAGTATAATCTTGTCAATTGAGGATCAAGTTGATTTGTGTATATTGTTTTCACATATGATCATTCAACAATACATGATCCATATCGTATGCAAGTTCTGGTCTAAATTAATATTGATTATAAATTATTGTGATGTTTGGTTATGGGTTATTGCAGTGGTGAGACCAATAAATTATTAAATCAAAGTTAATCACGCTTATGATGGTATTTGATTATGTCTCAAATTGGTGTTAATTACGATCCAATTGTTGAGTTTTTGGTTACAAATGAAGTGGTCAATGGTTATGCTCCAAAATGATGTTAATTACAACTCAATTGTTGAGTTTTGGTTGCAAATGAAGTGGTCATTGGTTCCAAAATGATCTTAATCACAACTCAATGCCACTATGGTTATTAACCTGGATTTATTTTTTAAATTTAAAGACGGGTAATTCTACTTATACCACTACTGTAGCTCTTTACATCCTTTATATGAGTTTTTTTTTCTCCCCTAATTTTATCTATGTGTGAAATTACCTTTAAGGACAAAACAGTAAAATTAAATATATTTTGTTATCTCCTTATACCCCTTGGTCTTCAATCCCTATTCCTCTTTTTCCTTTCTTAATTTTTCTTTTCTTTTACATATCTCTTTTCAAAAAGTGATAATCGTAATATTTTGATCATTAAAAAAAGTAATGGATAAAGAAACGGTGGTGAAGAACCATAAAAAAAGTAAAATTGTGAGTTTTTTTTTTTTATTTATTTGGTAGTTTTTGTTTCGTTTTTCTAGACTGGTGTTCGACTTTCGTTCAGTGGTTCGAAATCGAACAAATAAAATAATCCGGTATTACATTGTCGAACAAAAAATATAAGTATGGTAACCAACTACCAAATAAAAGATACATTTCCAGTAACCCAAAATCTAATTTTTTTAATTTGTTCGGTTTCTCATTACCAGGTATTTTCAATTTCGTTTTTTTTTTTATATTTTATATTTTTTTGCTTGGAAGAATTATACTTATACTCATTGCAACAATACAAGTACTGCAATATTAGTGGACTCTAGTCATGAATTTATTATAGATGAGGTTTGTTAAGTTTTTTTTTTTTATAAATACGATTTTTTCTTATTTTTAATTTGTATTGAGTTTTATTAATAATTTGACGTATAAATATATTTATTATCTTTAGATCTTTAGTAGTCATGAATCATTAATTAAATGGGTTTCTAACGTTGGGAAGAAGATGGGATTTATCATTGTTATAACATCAAATGCCGGAGGCAATGACAGAAAATCAAAACTTACACTTGCTTGTGAAAGAAGTAGTTACTATAGAGACAATAGAAAGATCAAGGGGGAACGATTGAGGTTGACAGATTTTAAAAAGTGTGGATGTCTATTTCTATTAGGATTTTGATAGAGACTCCCTCCAATCACCACCCCCACCACCCCTATACACACGTGGCGGGTGGTGATTGGAAAAAAAAAAAAAAAATCTAACCAATCAGATTAAGAGGAGGTCAAGGGGGTGGGGGGAAAAGGGGGTTTGGGTCTTTTTCCTTTCTATTAAGAGGGAAAAAATTACCTACAAATTACCAAGACGAATTATAATAACATGTTTGATTGATAGATGCAAACAGTGATAGATTTTATGAATACTTTATGGGTATTCGTGCACTTGATTTTTTATGAATAATGTTATGAATACTTTTTATGTATGATTTTATGGATGCGTGTTTGATTTATGAATTTTCCTATGGATGCTTCAAGGAAAAAAGTAAATCTTTCAATGTACAGCGATAGGGACCTAGACACTTCTATTGTAGTTTGGCAACATGAAACTAGAGTAATCTCATTTGTGTAACAATGTATCACTGAACAGGCACTTCACAAATGGTCCAAATTAATTTCTTATTATCATCTAATTGGACAGCAACATAATGTTGGGAAAAAAATATTGTTTGGTAACATAGCAATGGAGTAATTTGAATTAATTAGCGTTGTATTACCGAATAGATCCACCACAAATTAAAAAATTATTGTTTGGAAGAAAATGACTCTATCAATGTATAATAACAAAATGCTGGAGAGATCTATTTTTTTGGCAGTATAACACCGGAATAATGTATATTATTTGGCATCCTGTTACCAAAATTAGTGGTGTAAAGAGATGAAATAATTAATTTAAGGTTAATTTTGGTAATATATTGGAGATGTAATGAAAATTATATATTTTTTAGTGGTGTAATGAGATGAAAGATGTAAAGAGGTTAAATAATAATGTAAGTAGAATCACCCTTTAAAGACTGACAATAAGAATATATAATTTCCCATTCATATATCATGATAAAGTTGAAAAAATTTATAATACATATTCCTTAGAAGGTGTGCAACGTATGATCGAATAAGGAAAATTTTTATAATTTTAGTTATAGATGGTGTCAATACTTAGGGGCAGTTTGGGATGATCTAAATAAGTGTACTTTTTGACTTTTTATGAATATGGATTGGGTTTGGGTTGAGTTTGAAGTGATGTATTAGAGAGGTGATGTGACTTAAATAAGATGATGTGACTTAAATAGGATAGCGACTTTTTAACTTTTTGTCTTTTTATCTTTTTCAAGACATGCCAAACTTACTTTTAGTTGTATATGACATTATTGGCAACATACAAATATTATTATATTATTTTTATAATTGTACAACATTGTCTTCTTCACTTAAAAGTTGATGGAGCACTTATGAAAAATATGATAACAAAGTCGATGAGTGTAAAATCCAAAATTTTATGTGTAGAATTATTTTTGGTTAAAGTTGTAATTAAATTAATTTATATGGGTCATTTTAGTAACATCAAGGAATTAGTTATGAGGTGGTTTTTTTTAAAATTTTTATTACTTAGATGGTTAAGTTTGTAATTTTGGGAGATTGGGTTATAGGCCCACTTGGGCTTTAGGTCTTGGAAACATAGAAGCACAAACAAATAGAGGTAGTGATGTTGTTGTGGCTGCTGCGGCAGATCTAGCAATAGAAAAAAAAAAAAAAAAAGAGAGAAGAAGAAGAAGTAAAGAAAAGAAAGAAGATTCATAGATTGGTGACTTTGATCTAATCATCTCTTGGAGGTAAGATTTGTTTTTATGGTACTCCTAACTATTTCTTTAGACATAGTATCTTGTATGTTGATTGGGTGTATGTATTTTGGGGTTTTGGAATTTACTTGTAGACTATAGGATTAGATTAGTACATTATAAAGAAAAGAATGATAGATGCATCATGGTGATCAATAATAATTGTTTATGTGGTATAATATTTTATTAGATTTGTGAGATTGAGGTGGATTTTGGTAATTTGAGATTAGCTTGGGAAATATTATTTTAGCTGTTTGAGGTAAGTAACCCTCTATCACTGTTGGTTCATTTTTATTCTTATCGAATCGTTTAAAATCATAAATATTTATTCGTAGCTTTCCTGTTCTCTTAAAATAAAATATGGGTCAAGTATAAAACAACATTGAATATTATTATGAAAATTATTTGAATATTCAGTGAAACTATTCTGAAAATTATACTAAACGTTTATTCTGAAAATATCGAATGCTTTATTTAAAATTTGTGTATTGTTTGAATTTTGAACATCACTCTAGTCTGACTATGATTTGGACCCTAGCCAATGGGGGTTATTTATTGGCACAGAAACTAGTTTCTTTTGGGGCTTTACCATTGGCCTATGTGTGGTTCTGGGCCTTGTCACGGGCTATGTGACCGTAGTCAATAAGACTTGGGTTTTGTGAATCAAATCATTGAACCATCTGAATATCGAACCATCGATTTGAACAATGAATTACTTTGAATTATCTTGTTGGCTTTTCATTTAAAATGTATTGTACATTGTTTATTTTTAGTTATGAAACCATCTTACAAAATAATTGTTCATTTATTGAACTGTAGAAAAATTTATATTTATTGATTATCGATTTATTTTTATTTTTTTTTATACTTGATCCAGCTGGCAGTGATGGTTGGTTATTTACTAGGCTGTCTAGCTTACCCTTATTTTATTTTTTTCAGATTCTGAAGAGTAGAGCTGCGCGGGATTTTTTTTTACATATGGGAGTGCCGAGAGTAGGATTATGATTTAAGTACTTGGATTATTTGTTTTGTTAATGGATTTTATTAGTGGACATGGTGGATAATTTCATATGATAAGAATAATCAATTTTTTTTTATGGATTTTAGTATTATGATAATTAAGGGTTTGATTGGAGTATTTTACATTGTTAGTTATGTGTTGGACTCTTAGCCTTGCATGCTCACTTAAATGAGTGTGCGGCGTTGTTACGGAGCTTGGGACGTGACAATGAGTATTGGGGCACATAACAATATAAGAATGAATAGGAGAGAGTGGTAGTTTTAAATGGTTATTTGGGTGGTCATTGTTAAAGCTTGTAACTTATAGCCTAACAGCTTATACTTTATAGCTGTGAAGATAAGCTGATTTTTGACTTATAAATTAAGTTTCTCCTCCCCCACTCAAAGAATAAGTTGATTTTTGACTTACAAAAAGTTATAAGTTGTATTATTAAGTTGAACCAAACACATCAAAATAACTTAAATTATGCTAAAAATTGAAATAAGCTGAAAATGAACACTACC